CCTGCCCAAGTMAAGCCAGTGTCACCCACTGTTAATRACATTAATGACAAAGTGGGTATCCTGGACCAATTAAAAGCTGCCTCTTTGTTACTCTGATGTCAGCTGCAAAGAGCCTGAAAGACCAGAGATGTCCCCATATCCAGGTGTCTGTATATGGGGCCCATCAGCTGGATGGGACGGGGATGGAACCTCAAGTATAAAGGCTATGCCTTATCTCACAAATGAGTTATCTGGTATTTCCTGCAGGGATTCCCTCTGGCAGGTCCACATCCCAGAACAARGCTCATTTCTCACCAGTTTGCAGCAGCAGTTCTGTGCCTGCAGACAGCCCCACACACAGCACGAGGCCACACAGTCACTTCAGCCTCCAATAAAAAGCTGAAATCATTGTTTAAATCTTTGGATCAATACATCTTTGAACTCCCAGCTTTCTGGAGTGACTGTTTTCTCATCTCCACCTCACCCTCCTGTGCTAGGAAGTGCCCCCTCACCTGCAACACCTTCTTCAAGCCCTGATGCTGTTGGTGTACTCTAAGACTTYCCAGTGAGCTGAAGGGGAATTTCTCCCCATCTCCTTTTGCTGAGATACTTTGCACTCACTGTCAATAATGGAATTAGACATGGAGAAATAATCTCCCTCAGCTCGAGGCTCCTATGACAATGAATAGCCTTCATTTTCAGTCACAAAGAAGATTGCAGCAAGCTAAAGGCACCTCCAGCTCTCCATCCCACCTTCCCCAAGGCATGTGATGTGAATCCAGCATTGCTGGAAGAAAGAGCTGGAAAAAATAAAGGCAGCAAAGCCACTCTGGAGGAGCTGACAGACGAGAAGCAATGGGGTCAGATGTCTCTGGATTTTTAGAGGGGAGATGCAGCAGCACAATTCCTGCTGGGAGCAGTRGATGGCTCTGGGTACAGATGTTTCTGTCATGTTCCAGGGAGGAGCAGCTTTCCCACCTGCTCCAGCCCCAGGAAAATGCATTTCAAGCACCAGCAGTGCTGCTTAGGGATGCACCCAGAGGCTCTGGAAGAGCTGGTGCCCAGAGGAGCTGGGCAGTGCCAGCCCCAGCAATGGGAGGGCCATCCCTGCCTGCCCAGGGGTCAGGGCAGACCCCTGCTCCAGGCAACCACCTGGCYTTGGCTTGTGGCCATCACAGCATCAGGGCCCCGGGCACTCAGTGAGCATGGATTGGCATTTCCTGAGGTTCTGGAGTTTCTTTTCCCTTTTAAGAAGCCCCAAACCGCCTGTGAACGAGCCAGGCAGGGGAAAGCCACAGAGCAGCACCAGGAGAAACTGTGAGAAGACGCCAGGAGAAATGTCTGCTGCCATTACAGATGGATGGGGGATCTCCATAGATGGCCCCAGGCCCTCCCTGCTTTCAATACTCCCACCACAACCAGCAGTAGAACGTAGCAGAAAAAAGCCTCCTTGCCTGCATAAAAAATTCAGTTGCGGAAAGAAAATGCCATTTTTGGAGGAAAAACTATTCCTGTCTGGAAATTCGGGATGGAATCTCCTTGGGAGCACTTGCTGGGCCCGGCCACGTGCCCTGAGCCGGCAGCGAGGTCGCACAGCCAGGGCTGGCACATGGCCCTGCCGACCCACAATCCTGGGATTCAGAGCTGAATTCCTGAGATAAGTCTTTTCCAGGAATGTCTGACARCGCAAACGAAGCAAAGATTGCAACATTTTTTTCATAGTTCTCGGCCTCTTGAAGAAAAAAAAGCATTATCTAACAGCAAATGCAAAAATCAAAGCAACAAGCAGGCAGTTGTCCACGGAGAAGGAGTGGGAATGTGCCCTGGGCTCCCTCCCTGCGCTGCTCCTGCGGGATGGCYCAGCCCTTGCATGCACCGAGGGCTCCAGCCCTGCCAGGAGCAGTTGGGGTGGTGGGAGCTCCATCTCCACCGAGGGGCCAAGTCCAGCCCCTACCCAAGGTCTGTTGATGTCCYGGGAATCCTTGCTCAGGCAGTGAGCACCCAGCCCTGGGGCTGTTTGGCTGCCTGGTCCTTCCCCATGGGACAATCTGTAGGGTGAGGAGCACAGCCCAAAACTTGCCTCCGTGTGAAACAAAAGCAAATGCTCCTGGCACCTGGTTTTAGAAGTTCAGCTTCTCAATGGGCATCCACTCAGAGGTCCCTATGTGACAGGACAGGGGAGGCTCAGCTGGGACCAAGGGCCATCAGGGCACCCCCCAGAGACCCCATCCATGATGAACACAGGTGATCCAGCACCATCTGATTCCCWAATTCCACTTACTGAGTCCCATTGCTTTTTGAAAAGAGAAGAAGGAATAATCACGCTCCAGAGGCCACTGCGATGGCCAGAGCAAAAACTGCTTCAGTGTAAAGACTGAAAGTTCTGCCAAAATTCCCAAGGAAAATTCCTTGCTCTTAGCCCAGAGCACTTTAGCATTCAAGGATTAACCTTGAGTTAGTACCATCTAGGTTACAACCTTGGTTCAGTAGCATCCTTGGCACAGGGAAATGAATTTTTATGGCTGTCTRGAGCCCATAACACAGCCTCGCTTCYGAGGGCTGTARCCGAGGCTGGCTTGTGGGATTTGTATGAGATTGTTCCTAATTTATAACATAAGCATATTCCCAGGAAAGGAGGATGAAGATGAGGCAGGAGACAAGTGTGAGYCTTGGAGGTGGTTCTGCTACAGCAGCCTGGCCCCATGACCTCACTAGTGCTGCAAAGAGTGGYCAACAGCAGCTCCCTGCCAGCAGTGACAAGGGAGGGAGGGGAGCAGCAGGGCCCACTGCAAAGGAGACCCTGTGGCATTTTTGTTCTGTTCTTACAGACCTTAAAAGCCTTGCACAAGCCCAGGAAATATCCTTTGAAYCTGTGTTCCTACAGCAGTGGTGGGCTCTGAATCCTGCATCCAGGGTCCCACAGGATGAAGACAGGTCCTCAGCTCCCACCCCTGCCACAGGGTGGGTGGGGCACAAGCTTCTGTCCAAGCAAAACCCCTWCTCCTGATGTCAGAGCAGAGCCTTTGGATTAGTGAGAGCTCTCAGAGACCTGTCTGAGCCTTGAGCACAACGAACTTCTACTCAAAAAGCAGCTCACTGGGGCATTTAATCCTGGAATCCCAGAATGGTTTGGGTTGGAAGGGACCTTAAGGATCATCTCGTTCCACCCCACGTGCTATGGGCAGGGACTCCTTCCACCACATCAGGGCTATCAACCCAACTCAGCTGCTTGACAGCATTTTCAGCAGGGTCACCTTGACTACAGCCCCTTTAACCATAAACCCTGAACATTGGAAAGGCTCCAGCAGCTCTGAGCAGRGCAATGGACACTCCCAACACACGGCAGGACTGGCCGGTGTGCAGGAAAACACCCAGCCACAGTTGGGACAGGCCCCCTCAGCACTGACAGCCCCAACAGAGCATCCTGGAAACAGCCAGAAAAAGCGCTGCAGGTTTGAAAAGCGAAAGATTTAGGGAGGCTTTAGAGCCCTCGGCTCTGGCACTCCTGGGAGCAATCGCTGCCTTTCATTGCAAAGCAGGGGCTCAGCACATTCGCAGCTCGCATGACTGGCCCTGAAGCGSGGCTGCCTACTCTGCATCTGCCGGCCCTGGCCAACTGCTGATGAGGGCCGGGGCTCCAGAAGGCTCCTCGGCCGGGATGGGATCCAGCCGCTTCCCGGACACCACCAGGCGTCAGCAGAGACCAGCGCTGGAGCGCCGCTGCCAGCGAAAGCAGAGCCCGACACACGCAGGGACACACCGGGGGCGGCAAGGGACGGAGCATCGCCATCACCTCCCCACGGGGGGAAACTCGASTGCTTTGCTCCCAAAGGCTGAGGATCCCCATCGGAAAAACAAAAACCCTCTCACCCTCTCCCTTCACCGAGGGACCCTCTGGAAGCATTTAACGCTCTCGGTGTGACTGTCCCCYCTCACCAGAGCTCGTGGTCTCGGTTTGCTGCTCCCCAGGCCCGCACAGCGTTTCCGGCACAGCGTGACTGTGTCCCAGTGACAGCGGGGTGACTCACAGCTGCTTTCACTGGCACTCACACTGTGACTATCTATTTCCACAGGAAAGCAAAAACCTGGCTAACAAAACAAATGCTGGCCACAGCACCACTGGCATTAGCTCTGTCTTCCAGGGAAACTGAGGCACTGGCTTGCCCAGCTCTCTGAACAYGGATTTTGTGTTCCTGGGGCCACTGGTCATCCTGGAAACTGTGTGTCACAGTGTCTCAGCACGCCCCMCTCCCCTGCTGGCCTCAGCAAACAGCCCAGGGGTGATGACACCCCGTGTGACACCGGCCTTCACCCAGCTGGGTGCCAAGGGCTGCTGAGCCCCGCCATGTGTGCAGGTGCYGCGGGATGAAGGGCCCGAAACCGGGCACATCCTCACAGCGACCCCCAGGGCCAGCGCTCTGCCCGAAATCCCAGCCCGTCCCAGCAGCAAAAGGTGGGACAGATTTCCAGGGAGGGGACGGGTGTCCTCTGGAGACAGTGTCCTCAGGGCTCTGTGTGCACCTTCCAAACCCTTCACCAGCAGAGAGGGAGGTGAGCCCAGAACAGCCCCTGAGCTCCCCGCGGGGTGACAGCCCCAGCCACCCTGCTCCAGGGACCTCCTCGAGTTTGTACAGCCAAGTGGGAAAAGGGGCCAAGACCCCCTAAAAGGGCTCCAGCTGTCCCTCCCTGTACACCTGAGTGTGCCACCCTGCCCTGGTGCTGCCAGGAGCTTTCCCTCCGCCCAGGGCAGCCGAGCAGAGCGATGGACAGTGGGTCTGGACTGAGGGGGGTGCGGGCAGTCCCCCGGTGTTGGGCCAGCCCTGTGGGGACACAGCAGGACCCAGCAGAGCCCTGCTCCGACAGAGCAGAGGCAGGGGCATGGGGTGGGGTGGGAGGGAGAAGCTCCGGGGATGAAGGAAAATCCAAGACGAAGTCACAAATAACCCGCACAGACAAATCCCCCCGATTCCATCGGTCCCCGGAGGGAAACAGAAGCGGCCCCGAGCCCGGGGAGCACTCACCGTTGGAGGAGGATGCCAGGCACTGGAAGACGGCGCCGGAGGTGCAGTTCTGCCACAGGTCCGCCATGTGCCCGCCGTTCACCAGCCATTGCTGCGGGACAGACACGGTCAGTGAGGAGGGGCCGGGGAGGAGCAGCCACCCGTGTCCGTGTCCCCCCA